GCCTCCATCTGTCATGCAGTAGCCCAAGCGCGCTACTGTTCAGCTTCCACACTCCACACAAACACGTGAACTGCACACTTTTTTCTAGGCTAACATTAGATTGAGCTGCCATGTAAAGTTGTTACTACATACATATTTCAGATGATAAGCCATATTTGAGGTCGATGAATGTTAGGTGAGCATATGGATGTCCTGCCCGATGTACTCTATTACCAAAAAGACCAGCCGTTAACAATTTGTCCGTCACGGACTGCATGATTTCGCCACTTCGTGTGGAATTTTTTTTTCTGCGACTAATACAATTTTGGTAATATGCATATTAACAGCCTTTTAATTAGCAGAGTAGAATAATCATGGCTGATCGTAAGACATGCAAACATAAAAGAAAACCAAACTGGACGCGAGAACAGCTATATATTAAGGATATAATAAAAAATGTGGAGTTGGGATAACCTCCAAACCAAAGCCGATACCTTTTTAAAAGCTCATTATCATCAAACGTTTCTAAAATGTTTATATTCCGAGGTAGATTGCTGGCAACAGCCATTTTAGGATAGTTCCGATTTTGCCTTAGTGACTTAGGAGTCCTCTTCACTACTCCTAACGTTTCAGATTTAGGAGCAAATTTTAGCTCAAACACTTTGTGAAATACTCTTAGAACAAAAATTTAGGAGTCCTAAATTTAGGACTGACACGCCCATTATTTTTAAGATTTTCTCCTAAATCGGCAAGTTATGAGCTACTTTTAGCCTTAAGATGTTTTGTGAATACGGGCCCAGAAGTAAAAAGGGTAACTGTGAGGGAAAATACATTTTATCATGCACAACAGCTGACTCAGAATCTTGCATGGAAGATCTGGGCCCGTATTTATCAAGCCTCTGAGAATTACTCTCAAGAACGCTACTAAGAATTGACTTGAGTGTAAAAAACTTCTTGGATCAAAGCTGCACTTAAAAGTTAGTTATCAAGCATCTCAGTTGTAATTTAAGCGAAGTGTAGGACTAAATCTTAAGCGTCAGTCTTAGAGCTGACTCACGACACTTTGCTGTGCCACAAACGGGGATTTTGGATGACGAAATACGTATGGACCAATCACTGAATAGATTTCCTTAATTAAGAATATTCTCAGATAAATTCACATTGAATGGTTACATTCCTCAATAGGAGTTTACATTCAACACACATTTGACAATAAAGAATTTTCAAGAGAAAACATTATGGTAAGGAAACGAATTGTCATCACAACCTTCAATTTAGGGTTGTGCCGGTAGACGATAGTATCATGTATCGACGATAGTCAGAGATATCATCTGTTGCTGATTTATTTAAAGACAGCAAGACGATTATTATTATTATTATTATTGTCTGTCAAAAATATAGGCGCCTATCTTTAGTGATGCAGTGCGGAGAGCCGCTTCAGAAACTTGCCGCGGCGAGGATGGTGAGTAGCCGTGATCAGCTCCGGTGGTCGTGTCAGAGCCGTAAAGCACCGCACTTTGGTAATGTAAATATTCTTTGCTCGTTTCTGTTTGAATAACTGAGGAAATGTAACCATTTGACTGCTCGTCGTCAAACATTTCAAGAACATTCTTCCTCTCCTGAAAGATCTCCTCAGCGCCATCACAAACCCCTTCTGGCAACTCCTAACCACTTGAGAGACCTCTCGAGCTGTCTTAAATAACTGGGAGAGTAAGAGTGATTCTTAGCTTTAAGAAATTTGATAACTTGCTTTGATACTTAAATTTGAAAGTAGGAGTAAATTTTATGAATTCTCAGCACTTAAGACTAAAATGGCACTTTGAGAAGCTTGATAAATACGGGCCCAGAGCTGGAGAAGCCAATCAAACAACTCCCATCTATTCCCTCATTAAGCTAGTTAGGCTTTGTTAATTGTGCACAGCCTCGTTAAGTGGGGACGCAGGTGGAACACTGGCAGAGCGGTAGATGCTCGTGCAGACGCAATCACTTATCAGCATACATGAACAAACACACTCTAATCACGACTAATTACAGAAGCTTTGATTGAATTTGCTCATCTGGCTCTCGCTGCTTCAGGCATCTTTTCACACACTCTCCAGATCAAAGAGGAGACGGCATGAGAGGCTGCAACTGAGCCTTTGACAGGGTCTGGTGTGAGCCACTCCTGTAGCTCTTATCATTAGAAATTTGATTCAAGAGGAATATACAGTTTTTATAATTTGTTTTTCCAAACAGTAGGTACAGTCAGGTGTCAAAAGCAATTGCTATCAAATACAACCGATACAGGGAGATGTCTTACCATTAAAATTTACATCTGAATAGATCCATGACCCCTCGCACAGTAGATCTAATATTTTTGTCAAAAATAAATGTAATTAAAAAAATATAAAACATTCTTTACAAAATATATAAAAATATATAATTGGTTTTGAATACATAATTTAATTAAGATAACAATTATATAACATATAATAAAAATGGTGACATATTTAAAGCTGTTAAATCAGATTAATTTTCTACAATGGCCTTACTGTGGAGACCTGTATGGTCTAGTGTGCATAGTGATATCAGGGTTGTCTATTTTTTGTTTTGTCTCATCATATCTCTCCTCTCTTTCTGCTGGTAAGCCATATATCCTCTGACTAAACGTAGTGAGCTGAGTCACTGTCTACATATACAGCAGTAGTACGTGACTCACAGGCTCACACAACACCCAACAACTGAACTGAAAGTCGATACTCTAATAAGCACAAAAACAAGAATATTGGGCAAAATGCGCCCTTTAATGGACTTGCTTTATTTTCTGTCGACATAGAGCCATAATATGAGTGTGTTTGTGCGCGCATCCTTCAATGCCGTTGCCGTAGTTACAGAATGAGATGAGGTTCGGTCTGTACGGGGGACAAGACCTCCTCGGCAACTCATTCTGTCAATAAAGGAATCTCCGAGATTCGCCCACACATGTGCACACCTATTACAAGAACTGCCGTATGTATATATAACTGCCGTATCATCAAGTCCCCCTCGTAGCATTTGATCTTCCATATTCAGTCGCATTCACTCCTCTATCACAAGCATCTTATTTGACACCAAGTTTCCATTATTGATGTTTGTTATGTGGTTGTTCCTGCAGGTTCACCGTATTATGATAATGTCAGGCCTCTCTGCTACAGTGATGCAGATGCTGTTCTGCTCTGCTTTGATATAAGTCGCCCTGAGACCGTCGAAAGCTCTCTGAAAAAGGTGAACGACATTTTGACTTCTTCATTTTCTATTACACACTTATTCTTTTCTTTTTTTTTCCAGTTAAAATATCAAAAACATCCTTAAAATTGTTACTTAAGCAACACTTCATAAAACTTTTTAGAAAATGCATCTTTAATTAGTGTACTTTGTCTCATTGCACAGGCAGATTTTTTTCACTTGTTTTAAGTAAAAACAAGTTCAAAACAAATGAAAAAATGAAAGTGCAGTAAGACAAAATAGACTCATAATAAAGATACAAGCTATCAAAACAAGTCTTAAAGGTATAATTCAACCAAAAATTTAAATTGTGTCATTTACTCACCCTCATGTCATTCCAAACCTATATTACTTACTTTCCTTTGTCAAAAATAATTTTTTATTTTTTGTCCACATAATGAAAATCAATGTTGTTTTGAACCCCACTGACTTTCACTGTAAGGGCAAATACTTTTGGGTGAAGTGTTGCTTCTCAAGTAAAAATACTCATTAAGAAAATTATTTCTGCAGTATATTAACAGCTCTCTCCCTGCAGTGGAAAGCCGAAATCATGGATTTCTGCCCCAGTACTCGAATAATCCTAGTCGGCTGCAAGACAGACCTGAGAACAGATGTTTGCACACTGATGGAGCTGTCCAATCAGAGACTGACGCCCATCTCCCATGAGCAGGTCAGTCGATCACACCCTTTCTAGACTCCTCGCATCACTTTTTCCATCTCTGACTGCATTCTGTCTATTTTTCTGTTTGTAGGGCACCTTGTTGGCAAAGCAGGTAGGAGCAGAGGTGTACCTAGAGTGCTCTGCATTCACATCGGAGAAGAGCATCCACAGTGTGTTCCGCTCAGCGGCACTAACATGCCTCAACAAACTGCAGCCCCCCATAAAGCAAAGCCCCACTCGCCGGCTGTCCAAACGCCTCCTTCACCTGCCCAGCAAAGCAGAGCTCCTGACCTCCTCCTTCAGCAAGGAGAGAACCAAGAGCTGTTCCATCATGTGAGCTCCATGTGTGCCACTCCAATTCCAGAAAAAAAAAAAGATATTTTCGCTCTTCGAAAGGGTTGGTTGGGGGTAGGGGTGTTTGAGAGGAGGGGAGGTCATGACCTTTCATGACCCCTCCCTCTCTCTACACTTATGTTGTTGTTCTTCCATTCTGACACCCCACCTGCAAACACACTCATCCCTATGACAAAGAGCTGCTGCCATTGTTCAAGGTTTTCGGCTATTACACATCCTAGTATCGATTGAGTTCCCTTTACCAGCATATGGCTTTACATGAACTGCACTTTGTATCAATGATCAATCAGTCAGACAAAGAAGGAAATGCAGTGAATATTGGACACTGTAGGATATTTTTGTGGGTAGTCTTATTTGTTAGCGTGCATACATGTATGGGAATGTGGGATGAGCTGTGAACGTAATTTAATATTTAAAGGAAGAGGATGTGTTTCTGTTACACAGTACGCACTTTAGTGAATATGGACGCGATTGTTGAATGGAAAGTGAGAGGATGATTGAATACAGGTTGGCATTAGTTGCGGTTTCAATACAGAATTATGCTTTACTTGTATTAGCTAAAGTCTCTGGCACTGATCTACGATGTGAGATCTCATGCAAGCATAAGGGGAGGAGCCAAACAAGATTTTATGTCCTCCTGAAAAAGGCAGACAGTGTTATAAATCTGCTAGATGAAGCATCCAATCACATTTGTACAATCCAGATGGATTGGACATGCTGACACACTCTTTCACTCGCTCTCTGTCATCTCTACTGTAGTCCTTCTTGAGCTTTCTGCCCTTAGAAAATGGGTCATAAATTCCAGCCAATGAGGAGAAGCCCAGCATTGCCCAGGCCATTTCTCAGTATAGAGCAGGAGTTATTGCCACAAAGACCCCTTCCAGATGTTCCAAGCGTTCTTTTTTAGAAAACAAGATCTTTTATTGAAATAATTTTAGAGGTGGACTGGAAAGGTCATGAGGGGGATTACTAAGGGATATTGCAGTCCACCAAAACTGATCAATGTTGTATAAGTGAGAAGAAAATTTGAATGTTCCAGTTGATTTTTCTTTTACAGTAATCTTAAAATCTGCCACAACACCTAATTTTCAATAACATGCCTGTAAAGAGCCGACTTCTCTTGTCATGTGGTGAAGTTACTGGTTATTCTCATGGCTGGACATTAGATTGCATTATAATTTCAGTGATTCTCATGCATTCGGTCAGATCACTGTCACAGAGGACTCTCCTCTCATGCTAAGCCTCATTCTGGTAATCTCGGTCTTAAATCTCACTACCCCTGGTTGTGTAATGCTTAATCATAAAACAACTAAATCCTCACTTTGGACTTATAAATGGCCAAGTAGAAATGAACTGAGAAGTCAGACGAGACAGCATTATGAAGAATCTGACCTCAGAATAACTTCCAACTAAAGTAGTTCATCAAATTTAATATGATCAAAGACATGGTTTGGGAAATAATTTACACTACCGTTCAAAAGTTTGGGGTCATCTTTGCCATCATAAGAATATATAACATTTTTAAATATATTAAAATAGAAAACCGTTTTAAATTGTAATAATATTTCACAATATTACCGTTTACTGTGTTTTTGATCAAATGAATGCAACCTTGGTGAGCAGAAGAGAATTCTTTCAAAAACAAAAAAAATAAATACATTTAATTTTCACTAATTTAATCCAAAATGTTGTAGCACTGGATATTGTGAAAACTGCAAATTCAGTCAAATCTTAATTTGCATGGTCATTATGAGAATGAAAATACTGTGTCTTGCCTTAAGCGCACATTTGTACTACTTTGTTATTATTATATCACTGACTTTGTAAACTCTCAGTCTAGTTCATCTGAAAGAAGCGTTAGGAGGTTGTTCATTACTTCATGCTACATGCACTGATCACCAATTCTACACCGTTGCTTAGCAACAGACAAGTCAGTTAAGCTGGACTACATGTTCGAAAACCACTCGAGAGAAGTTGAGAGAGAGAAACGGTGTAAAAGTGAAAACAAGTTCTCTCACTGTAGCATAACAAATGTTTTTTTTATGGCTATAGTTTATAGTTTGAAACATAAATCATCTTACAGACCATCATCTTGATATGAATTTGTTACTGTTGTCTGGTTTAGTAGCACTCTTATATGTTATATGTTTGATGTGGTGGACCTCCACAATCTTCCTTTTGTTACTGAAGTCTGGACGTACATATGTTGTGCATAATCAGTTTTTGTACAGCCCTTTAAATGAAGTCTGTGAAGGAAACAAATTCAAAACAGACAGTATGATTGTGTGTGCAATGTAACTAAGTTATTAATTGTTGATTATTGCTGGTTCCGTTTTATTCTTTAGAACAATCTATTTTATATGGAATATTGTCTCTGATGTCATGTGTCACTCTTAAATTAAATTAAAACCTGGCTTTGGTCAGTAAATTGTGTAAATGTTTGCTTCTTTTTAGTGCCAGCACTCATTAGGAGAAAATGCCACGTCTAAAAATATTTACATTTTTATAACTTTTTACACGTTAAGAACTACAGATCCAGAGGCAGTCCAAAATATAATGAGAAAAGTGATGTCTAAAGTATATACATTTAACATAGAAATTAAATAAAATAAAAATGTTTCCCAGCAATCTCTATCAAATTAATTGCAGAACCATAAAAAACTGGAAAAGTCCTGGAAATTCATTAGTCAAAACGAGTGTGAACCCTGTATCTTAAATTTCGGGAGATAATTTCATAAGACAAAGATCCTCATATGACAGACTCTTGAATTACCTCTTTATTCACTCTTTATGGCACTCAAAACTAGGCCAACAGGTCTAAGAAAACCCGGGGTTAAATCATGTGATTCTACAGGAATACAGTAGTATGCAGTGAAACAGTGTACTGAATAATAAAGAGGCAGAAACAATAAAAAGATTTCCTGTATGCATCTGCCCTTTAATAAGTACTGTACACACATCCGACGAGCAGACAAGGCCATGGAATATATGGCGATATTTTTAGGTAAAAATAGCTTTAACTAAATAAATAAATATACCTTGAACAATTTTGGTCCATCGATTTTCTTTATGAATCTATCTAGCCTATATTCAGTTTCTAAAGCTTGCAAATCATCCAGGCTTTCTCAATTGCATCACATACCAATAGGGCAAACTCTGTCATTGATCTTTGCATTAAGTCCCTACACTATCCATCTGTTCACAAAGTTCCATATTACTCTACATTAGTGGTTCTCAATTGTGGTAGACCAACAGTTGGGTTATAGGTCTATTCTGAAAAAGCAGAAAAAAATCAATTGCAAGTAACCATTTAATCAGGTATAGTTTGGACAGCAAAAACAAACAGGCAATCGACTTCAAACAACCATTAAATGCTATGATATTTGGGCAGAAATCCATCTCTCAATTGATAGAAGAAATCAAATTAGGCAGAAATGTATGCTGTAAATTACTGACAAGCAATTATTGACCAGCGAGAAGCATTACAACCCTTGAGTTTTTGGTATTAATAAATTGCAATGTAGATATATTAATATACGTTTTTAATATAAATGTTTAATTTCATATAAAACAATATTACAACTATTTTTAATAATAAATAGATTAATCAATTGTTTTATTGATTAGATTTGTAATTTTGGTATATTGTGTTGGGTCAGCACTTGAGTTCCAATGAAATTCTACATCCTGAAGCAAAACCAGTTCAAAAGCACTTATCTACATCGTGTTCCTCAGTCAGTTCTTTAGTCTAGTACCTTTAAACGGTAGTGTGCATGTTCACACTATAGTATATTAATAAACAAAGAGTGCTTGTACCACACCATGTGCAGCTCTTTCATTTAATGCATTAGATCAAGTCAACCTTGACCAGTCACAGGTTAAGGCATGACTTTCAAAGGACATTTCTAGGAAAAGGAAAAGATATAACTTGGATAAAACAGCAGTCTGTTAAGCATGATTTTAAGAGGAACGTTATGAAAGAAAAATACGGCATCAGAGAGGGAATGCTTAAGGAAAGAGCTCCATCATCCAGCTGCTTGAAGTCTTCTCCACCCAAACAGCCCCAGTCCCTCTCTCCTCTGAGGTCTCTGGGGTGTCAAGTAAGGGAATAACAGAACGCCAGCTCATTACCAATCCCTCACATCCAACAGACAGAAACCTAGTGAGTGAGAGAAACTGGGGAGAAATCAGTAAAGGAGGGAATGAAATATACTCTCCAATTACTGACGAGCTGCAGTCTGCTATAGAGATACGCACACAAACACACACACGCAGCCATCAAACCAGCCACCGTGACTCCAATGCTAACAATGCCATAGATAGTCTAGAACCATATGCGAGTTCAGACCTTCAAATGTGCCGTCTACTCTTTCTTATGCACCTTTTCTGCTTGTGTTACTCACCTGCTCATACTTACATTATCAGAGTATTGACTGTGCTTGTTGTATTGAAACAGCACAGAAAGCATGTCTCTCTCTCTCTCTCACACACACACACACACACAAGAACAACTGCTGGCCTCGTGGCCTCAGGAGAAATTAATGTACATAATCAGCATATTAAATTTATTCATATATTAGCATAAACAATGTGAAACCTCTCAACTCACATCATCATACATTTCTGATTTATATTACACGTCCTTTTTAAAAACGCATGATACATCAGCAGCATATTGGTTATCAAATCTTTTCATGTATCAGTATCAGACAATATTGGGTATATATCAGATGCTTTTGAATATTTTATTGCTAATTTTCACAGATTTTAACATTTCAATTACCTTTAAATACCTTTGTAAAATATATAAAATATAAGTACAATTAAAGATTTTAAGTTAACATTTCAATCATAATAATAATAATAATAATAATAATAATAATAATAATTCCAAACCCTGTTTGGAAAACCCTTAAAAAAAACAATGAAAGTAAATGGGGTCCAAAACAACATGGATTGTCTTCTTTTGTGTTCTGCCAAAGAAACAGTCATATTTGCAACTACATTTGATGATTTTAATATGGTAGTGTTGCAAGAGTCTTGCACAGCTGATTTCTGCTGCGTTGGCAACAGAACAAAGCAACCGCACATGTGCCCTCATATGAGCATTCCTCTCACACTGCCATGGGCTTTTTCTTGCCAACGGGGTCCCCAAGGCTTCCCGAAAACCCACGAGGTAAACCCAACCCCCACCATCACTCACTCTCACACATATGTACAGTGTGTCACGGTGAACCCCAGAGGTATGCTGATAATGGATGAGCATATCTGGCTGTTTAATTAGCCAACCGTGGTTTTATGGCATCTGGGTCTCTGGGCCATAGAGAAGGATAAAGGTGTGGGTTGTATTTGGACATGTCAGGATGGCTATGCATGTCTGGAGTTTAAAGTAGCACAGGGTTTTTGCTGGTTACAGCTGAGGTTGAAGAACAATGATTTAGTGTATAAAAATCTGAAGAAAAAAAAACTGACCTATTTATAAGCTTTAAACTGTCCAGATGTCCCATGCTTGGGCTCAGGTTCTTGACTTCTGATTGACCTGTGCCTGTACAAGTTAACTAATCCTATATAATACGGTCTGTTTTATGAAGATAAAGCTGCATGTACTGTATGTGATAATCTGGATATGATACTAAAAAGAGAGATTTATGTCTCTTAAGGACAAATTTTGACATATGGTGTGACACTGTAAATAACTAAGGTCAGGTCAGGGTGCATTACACATGCAGTAGTGCCCACAATCACAGCAGAGTAGAGCAACTTCTCCAAATTATTGTATATGCTGCAATTTCATGCAGATATTGGAAACTTGTTTTTGTACTTTGATACAATCTTTTCCTGTAAAACCAGGAAACAAACAATGATATACAACAATGAAGTCTGATTGCAATTCCATGTGTATAATATGCTATCAATCATGTATCACAGCAACCGATGATATGCCAGACAATGAATAGAGGATTAAAGATATATTTTAAGAAAATTGCTTCCATAGCTTATCATTATCAGCATAAGCACTGAAGACAAAGTTAGAGATTTTAGAGAATTTGGAGCAGCTACAGACTGATACGGACTAAAGCAGGGTCTACAACAGGGGGTCCAAGGTGGGATTGCAGAGGGTCTGCCAATTACTGCCAATTACTAAAAACTAATTTAATATTTTAAAAAAATACATGCAAAACAAAAATACAATTGTATGTAATATATTATGTAATATTCTAAATTCAATTACATTTATTAATAATTAAGAAATCTAAAAACTTTTTAGATTATCATCATTTTAAAGAATGTAATATATATATATACTAAAGCAGGGTCTACAACAGGGGGTCCAAGGTGGGATTGCAGAGGGTCTGCCAATTACTGCCAATTACTAAAAACTAATTTAATATTAAAAAAAAAATACATGCAAAACAAAAATACAATTGTATGTAATATATTATGTAATATTCTAAATTCAATTACATTTATTAATAATTAAGAAATCTAAAAACTTTTTAGATTATCATCATTTTAAAGAATGTAATATATATATATATATATATATGTATGTATGTGTGTGTGTGTGTGTGTGTGTTATATATCATATATCATTATAAAATATTTTTATATTATATATTAATATTATAAGTAACTTTAAAGTTAGTTGTCTAGTACAATTAAAATATAAGGTACATAATCAAGTATATTACTATGTACAATAACTAACGATTATTTTAATAGCTGTGTAATATTATAAGTAACTTTAAAGTTAGTTGTCTAGTACAATTAAAATATAAGGTACATAATCAAGTATATTACTATGCACAATAACTAACGATTATTTTAATAGCTGTTCAACCTGACACAGCAGAAGAGGTCCTGCATTCTCCCAGAGAAAGCAGACATGTTGATTTTTGTTCAGAAAAAAATAATTAGCTTTGCAAAAATTGCTAAATAACATGTTGAATTTGTTGATATTACCAGTCTGTTAAAAAGACTTGACAGATTTGACCAAATTTCTTACAATTCCCAACCCTAAACCTTAGCATCATAACAAACACATTAATATGAACATTAATTTCCACCAAGGGATCCAAAGGTTGAAAACTGGCATAGATTTAAGTAAAATTCTAGATATTCAGAGCATGACTGCTAGTTATCTGTAGACAGTTCACAACCCACATATCCAGAAAGATCGGTACTGGAGGCAGCTCTTTATGATCAAAATCACACAAAGCTGTAATCATAATTACCCACAACCTTGAGTGGGCCTGAGAAGAGCAAGTATGTGAGAGAGAAAGAAAAGACAGGAGTAGATATGAAAACATGAGTATTCTCTTTGACTTTACAGTGTCAGACAACACATTTACTGCAGAAATCATGTAGTCATAGCAACAGCAGCAAAGTCTTAGTGCAAGTGTGTCTATGTGTAGGTGCACGGATTTACTTTTCAATGGCCTGAAAGAGAAAAATCGTACGAAATAAAATATTTAACATCTCTCTTTTGAGCACGTACATTCTCAGTGTGAAGATGAAAGCGGCAAACAGTCGCTTATCTGGCCAACTAAAACGGTACATTTTAATTAACACCTGCGCCCTGCGTTTATCAGTAATTGAAACCGTATCCATGCAACCCTTTCTGTGCGATGACCCCATTTGAAATTAATTTGATTTGAATGAACGCAAATGATGATCAAGACTGCATATTAATGTTCATAATACAGATAGCTGTTGCTGGGTGAGGTACCATTAGTAATCGATGTTACCTGTAACTCAAACTCAAACGGCAGGCATCCTCCTTAGATCAGAAGTGTGTCAGAGCCTGTCTCTCCAGCACAAACAAAGTTTGTTTTGAAGGAAACTGTTTTGAAGGAAGTTCTCTTTCTTCCTCAGAAGGAAGGGCTGATAAAGGGAAGCCCGGCTTTGAGATTTTCCACTGAGGAAAAAAGTCACTTCCACCCACACACGGAGAACACCACTGCAGGAGGAGGAGGATGTGAACTGAACAATAGACTCGTGTGTCGGTGGAGTTCTGTAGTTGAAGCTCTGACATGCTTCACCCTGTCGCCCAGATAAGCCTCTCTCCCCTCTCATGCTTCTCTACCAGACCCTCATCCTGCCCCGCAACAACAGCCATTGTTATAAGACAAACATTACAGTCTATTTTTGTCAAGGCTGATCAAGTAAACAAGGTGGTGCTGAGCTTGCACCGCCAACCTCATTTTATTTATCTCAACACAGAGACTCTGTGCCAAACATACACTAAAAAGAGGTTTGCAAGCTGCAATTTCAGTAATGTAGGAGCTAGTTGTCACACGAGAAGTTGTTACAAGAACTATAACTCAGTAATTATGAGGTTTTGAGTCAAAAATCGAATTACACAAATGTGTGCTTTCTCTAGCAGTAGTTTGTATGTGGGTTTCAAGCACTGTGCTCCAAACTTTCAAAATCAGTATATTTTTTGCAATATAGCTAAACCAGTGAACATTATTAAACCACATTAGCATGTACTCAGGTGAAAGCCAACAATAAAATAAAGGTAGACTTTAACTGAAACCTGAACCTGCATTCTCAGGACGAGCATTTTTTATAAATACATTTCAGGTCAGGACATTTTATAAATTGTTATAAATTTTACAGTACCATTCAAAAGTATGCGGTTGGAATTTATTTTTTCTTAATCTTTTTAAGTCTCTTGTGCTTACCATGCATTGAACAAAATGGAGTAAAAAAATATAGTAATACTGTGGAATATTAATTGTATTCCACAATTAATTAATTCCACGTAATTGTATGGTTCCTGTGATGGATGCAAAGCTGTATTTTCAGCATCATCACATGATCCTTCAGAAATCATTCTAATATACTGATTTGCTGCTCAAGAAACATTTCTTATTATTATCAATATTGAAAACAGTTGTGCTGCTTAATATTTATGTGGAAACTGTGATACACATGTGGGTCTCTGATAAATAGAAAGTTCAAAATAACAGCATTTATTCGAAAGAAAAATGATTTGCAACATTGTAAAAGTCTTCAGGTTGCATTGTGACAGCTTACCCCATATAGTATGACAACATGCTCTGCTATTAGGGGATTGTATTTCTTCAAGAACAGGAAGACATTTACTCAAAGTGCTGAAAATGGATCCCCGAAGGACGACAGGAAAAGCACTTATTCAGGGAAGAGTATTATGCCTGAAATAGCTTTGACCAGTTGCTACATGAACGTGTCTCTGCTGAGCCACTCAGGAAGCTGCTAGTAATTAATATAGAAACTTGCTGACAGAAGTTAAATCCTCTAACATATACAAGGAACACATAGGCCTTGATTAACGTGAACGTACTGAATTCAACACTAAATAAACAAAGACAGTGAGAGGTGTAAATGAGACTAGTATACTCAGACACAAGTGCTCTCAGTCAGACTCTCTCTGTGAGGGCTCTCACTTGTACAAGAGTTCCTATGAGCTGCACTCCATTTGGATTTACCTTCAGGTACTTGCTATGAAATGTCACTATGAATATGAAGAGAGTTTGCAAGAGGCTTACAGCAACAAGACCCTTTATCAAAAAACACACATTCCAATATCTGTTTCAGTACATGAGGCCTGGGACAGTGTTTTTCCCCTTCCATCACAGGATGCCTTAGAGGTGCCCTTCATTTACTGGCAGCGGACAAAGGCCTGGGATAATATTCCTTGTGACGGCCCAGTGCAACATTATACCCACACATCTTTACATAGACACAGGCATCATATTCAAACATTTATATACCTTCACCTGTTTACTGCGGTGACTGTGGACTCAGCAGATCGGAGCCAGTGTTAGCTGCAGAATTATCAATATGCATGCAGACTGTGTCGCAGTCTGTCCACTACTCAAGGAATTCCTGCCCTCCTGTGGTAAGACTCTGAAAATGAAAAAAAGCATTTCAGTGTTTGATGGTTTTATGCTGAATGCAGATATTATAAAAGGTTGACTAATTTTCTGTGAGCCACTGTATTTTAGTACATAAATAATATTTTCATATTTTTTCCTCTAACATTTACAAAAAGTATCTAAAAGAGATTTAAAAAAAAAAGATAAAGATAAAAATTCTGTCAAGTAAATATGTTTGCGATATAAAGCGATCATATATCTTCACAACACTTGGAATAAACTGCTTAATTTTACAATCTCATTATGAGCTTTTTGGGTCTTCTAAGTTTTGGTTACCCGGACTTTCAATGGAGGGACATAAACCTCTCAGGTTTCATTAAAAAATATCTTAATTTGTGTTTAAAGATTGAGTAACCAAAGTATTACAAGCTTGGAACGACATTAGGGTGAGTAAATGATGACATAATTTTCATTTCTGGGTGAACTACCCCTTTAAACACACTATTCACACTCTTATGTTATTTATTTCGTTTGCTAACAATGTTCAGTAGTGTATTCACATGGATCGCATGAGAATTGACATATTTATAAAAATAAAAAAAGGAAAACAATATCATTTCTACCAGTGATGCATTGTGTTTAGTCAAATTTGGTGTTGGAAAATGACATAACATTTTGGACGTCCAACTCCATTGTTTGGCTAAGGCTAATTACACAGTTAGCATTTAATTACCCTTAATGCACACAATTAATCAATTCCCTTTTCTTGCATAATTTGACAATAATGAGGACTGAAAACTAGACACAGTAAAAAGTATACATATTCTTTTCACACCTGATATTTACCTGATTTTTCGCTGCTTATTCACAAATCACGTCTCATATTTTTCAAGTTCTTCATTGGCACTGTCTCCTTGGAAAATAAGTACTTTACAAAAACTTTATAGGGCCAAACTGTACACCTGCGCGAGTTCGCCTGATTTAAACCACACATCGGTGTATTCCTCTTCAGCCTGTTGTAGCGCCTCGGTCCTAAAGGAGAAACACCCTAAACAGGTGTGTGTGGACAGTCCACCAGTGAATTTAATCATCATGATTCAACATAATCATAACCCACTATCTCCCTACCCTTGAGGTGGCAGAAGAGCAAGTAGAAAACAGCAGCCGGGTCGCGAGACCAATAAACACCAGTAGGTGGCGGAATATGCACCAAAAGCTGGTTTGCCAACCGCCATTAAACATTATAAGAAGAAGAAGAAAACCAACACGAAATCGCATGCTTCCATACTATATAGTATGCGAGGCGAGTAGTATGTCCGAATTCATAGTATTCGAAAAACAGTAGGAGAGAAGGCGATCAAAAGAGATAACATATATTTAATAGTTTGCTGTGTACTGTTTGAGGTCAACCCCTTTATGAGTCCGACTCTCTAACCATTAGGCCACGACTTCCCCTAGACAAGGAAGATGTAATTTAGAGGAAGAACATGAGGAAGATGAAAGGAGAGCAGAAATGGGGAAAATGAATGAATTTGCTGTTTAAATGGTGATTTTAAATGAACGTAAATACATAACGTTACTATATAAGTTTTGTGTGTCATATAAGCGTGATATGTAAGTTGTATAGTTCAATCAATGACAGAACAGAGGTTGGACAAAATAATGTGAACACCTGCAAAATAGGCAATATTTCTGTAAGTTGTTTTGTGTTGTTTGTTCACAATCTTTATTAGTGTTTGATGGCCCCTATCATTAACTTTTTGTTTTTACTCTCTATTCTTTTTCGCTGATGAAGTCATAATAATAATTACGGTCTTAATCATAAAATCAGTTGTTTTTTAATGCACAACAACTGATTTTAAGATTACAGATGTTTTTGTTAAACAGGAGGACACAGTCTGCTGGGGTAACTGGTAGGATAAAACAGACCCTAAAGGTAAGTCGCCGAACTCTGTGGTGACAAGTTTTTTTTTTGTTGGTTACTGGCGGTTAATAATTTAAACATGTGGCTTCTGCTGCCTGAGGTTTTTAGGTTTTCCCTCAGATTCTCTTCAGATTCACCACAGGGCAATGGGACTGGGCAGTAAACATTTGGGAGAATTCCCTCACTTGTGCGTTTTACTCTATGGGTACTACTATCTGGAGGTTTTACTTTGGAAACCGATACTGTGCTGATTGGCTTTGGCTTTAGTCCTAATGTTCTTGATGGCACATGCCATGTTTGAGGCAAAGAGGTTTTACTTGTTCTTGGTGGTACAGATTTATGTCCCATTTTTAGGTAGTGAGCCAGTGTGTAAAGTAGTCCCAGTAAATGGTTACAGTGCCCCAATCCTGCTTTACAAGTGCTCGGATATACGGGTTTTCTTTAGACAGCTCCACCTGCAACAAAACATTGTTATTAACAAAGCCATTATTAACTAACCATAACCCACATTTCAAGACAAGATGTACAAAATATCAGGTGTTTTTAAAATGAAAATCCACTTACAGACCTTTTTTCTTTTAAAATCACTAACCCCAAAAATGTCCTTTTGTCTTAAAAGTATTTCCAAACCATAGTGGATAACTAAGCTACACACTTACGTTATAACAAGTGTTGGGTAAATTATAATCTTAAAAATAAGATTATTGTACTCTGGGAAATGGTTAAACTGTTTTGGAAAAGTTTGGAAAAGTCCCCGGTACTTATATAAATAAATATATTTGCTACATTATACATCAGAAAAACTACTTGAGACCATATTCATATCACCCGTAACAAGTCGCATTGTATTATGACGTGGCTTACTGGAAACACCTGGTATTTAGTATGAACGAACGACCGAACAAACAAGCTCCAAAAACAAACTAAGGACCAAACCTTGAACCTAACTCGAACCGTCCTGAACATGGAGGGTACAGAAATTTGCTTACAACAACACAAAATACCTTTATGTTGTAAGGCGCCTCGTTCTTTCGCATCGAGCGAAAGAACTGGGCCCTAACACTACAGCCTGCTTCGTTTCTCTTCACTGTAAACCACAGGTATCATGGACATCAAACACTACAGTTCAACACTTTGAATTGGCTAAGAGGCTAATGTTAGCACATACAATCAGTGTGTAACGTCGCGATCTTCTATGCAGCATGCTAAGCTAAAGCTAACCTCACAAGAAAGTCGAAAAGGTATGTTTTTCCTTCAACATCGTGGATATAACCTTCGATCCAGTTGCTGTAACCCTTCAGGAGGATAGACCTGGGAATTTTTGATCCTTCGTCCGCCCATGACTCCACAACATTGAGAGTAAGTGGAGGAAGACATGACAGGTTTGTAGTCCACACAGCCATGTCCTGTTGTTGTGATTTCCTGTTTACCCTCACAGCCTCGTTTTCGAATCAAAATGGCGGCGGGCTGAATAAGGCGTATGAGGTCACGGGAGAGGAGGCGTGGCGGTAATGCTCAATTGGTGATTGCGAGCCGCCAATAAAAAACGAATAAGAAGAAGAAGAAGAGAGAAGGCGTCATATTGCCAATAGGGAGACGTTATTACTAATTTATCAGGCCATGATCAGGTCCATTATTGATTATGGGTCATTTGTATATGGGTCTGCTTCTAGTACTGATTTGAATAGGTTAGATGCAGTGCAAACAAGGGCTTTGAGGATTTGTTGTGGGGCCTTCAGAACTTCCCCAGTTTCAGCCTTGCTTATTGAAATGGGAGAAATGCCCTTATGGTTAAGGCACATTAAATTAGGACTACAGTACTGGGTAAAAATTAGTGGGTGTAATTATACATATCCAGCAAGGTGTTTGTTGCAAGAGTTTGTTAGAAGTAGGAAATATAATAATCAGAGCTTTTGTGACAGAGCAGGGACTTGAGGGCAACATTTCTGCCGCTCAAGTCAAAAGAAAGCGGGAGAACCTAAAACAAAAATATACAGTAAGATTTTTTTTTATTATTATTAGTTCACCCCAAATTTTAGTAGTTCATGATTTGATCATGCTAATGTTTTTCCATGTCATAGTAATGCAGTAATCTAGTGAATGTAATTGACTGTCTTGATATTGTGCTTTTCAGACCCGGGATATCCAACAAAGATATGGAGGAACTTCCCCTTGTGGTCGGTGATGGCCTGCAGCTGAACAGCGTGGAACAGCTTCCTATTACAATAGCATGGGGCATCACTTGCTGGTGGCTTGATCCGGATGTGGCATCCGTCTATTGCACCGCATGTGGGAAACTGGAGATCCAGCCAGCTGGGCAAAACCTGCCTCCACTGCCACTCAGCCAGCTGCGCAAAACCTGCCCCCACTGCCTCCAGGTCATCCGGGGTCGGGAACGTGATCAGCCTCCTCAAAATTCTGATGACTGCACTGCTGATTCTGTGCAGAATGTCATGCACCGTGGACTTTGGGATGTCAAAGCACAGTGACACCAGCCTGTACGATGCTGCGTGGGCCAGCCAGTAGAGAAACACAAGCACCTCAACATCTTTTTCCCAGCCACGGTCAGAATCTGACTTCAAAGCAGCGATGAGGGATGTGATGGACTGTCGTGAAAGCCGGAGGTTTGGACGGAGGTCAGATCCATCTTCGAAATACAATCGAAGAGTTGGCACAGCAGCATTCAGGCGGCAGTAGGTTGTAGGGCTCACAGTCTGTAAATGTGTGTGTGTGTGTGTGTATGTATATATATATATTATTATTTTATTTTTTTTAGAATATGTATTTGTTTATATTACTAATGTAATTTATGTATATTATATCTATCTAATATTTATTTAGGCTATGTATATATTGTATGTATTCATTCTCTCCCTCTCTCGCAGCCTGTATGATGCTGCGTGGGCCAGCCAGTAGAGAAACACCAGCACCTCAAAATCTTTTTCCTAGCCATGGTCAGAATCTGACTTCAAAGCAGCGATGAGGGACGTGATGGACTGTCGTGAAAGCCAGAGGTTTGGACAGAGGTCAGATCCATCTTCCAAATACAGTCGAAGAATTGGCACAGCAGCATTCAGGCGGCAGTAGGTTGTAGGGCTCACAGTCTGTAAATGTGTGTGTGTGTATATATATATTTATTATTATTTTTTTAGAATATGTATTTGTTTATATTACTAATGTAATTTATTTATATTATATCTATCTAATATTTATTTAGGCTATGTATATATTGTATGTATTCATTCTCTCCCTATCCAATTATGTATTAATTCAAGTTTATTCATTGATTCATGTCTTATGTTTGTCCTGTGTATTTTTTCTGCATTTATTTATAACAGTAAATTACTTTATTTCGTTGCTCCAAATGAGCCCGTCATGGTGTTCACAGACATGACTTTTTATTCTGAGGTAAAATGTGCTAGCTAAATAGGTGATTGTACTTACCTTATTTGATAAATGATTTACAAGCTGTCGACCAAGGCCTGATCTTTTATTTATTTAGTCATTTAGCAGACGCTTTTTTTCAAAGCAACTTACAAATGAGGACAACAGAAGCAATCAACTAGTATTAAAACAACTAAAAACCGATCCAAAGCTAAAACTTTATAAATACTACCTATACACATTTTAAAAATAAAGAGATTAAATAAAAATGACACATGCATACTACAACGATTTCATAAAGCTAAAAACAATTCAAAATAGTAAAGAACAAAAGGTACAAGAGTATAATAACGATTCTAACAGAACACTAAGCCAAACGCCAAAAAAAACAACCGCTACATATGTGTATGTACAACCATACACACACATATATATACACACACGTATTTATAAATTCAATATATTATTTCGTTTCCATTTTGTTTGTTGAAGTATTAAAATAACTCCAATTAAAAAAACTTAATAAAAAACCTATACAGACATATTCAGACAATTTAACTCAAATTAAAATAAATAACAAATACAAATCAAATGACAGTAGTTTATCAGTAATCCTAAAAAATCCGTGATCTGCGAGCAGCTGACCGAAGCCGCCTCTGAGCTGTTGATCCAATCAACGTTAAAACGCCGATGAAAGCGGTAAGAATAACGTGAAGCAGTGCTGATGTTCGCGCAGTAGTGAGGGCGCTGTTGTGAAGACGCGTGTCACGTGACAACATCAACTACTCGCCAACCGCCATTAAACATCAGAAGAAGACCAAGGAACAAGTGCGTCATTTCCTATTTAC